AAAAAAAAAAAAAAAAAAAAAAAAAAAAAGATATAGAAATAGATATAGATGCATTGTAGGTTTATCAGGGCTGATGAATTTTCTGGGCTTGCCACATATCCACATTCCCGTACACCTGCCAAATGACAAGAAATTCAACACCTGGATCTAGTGCTAGCATGCAAATGTGACAGTTTTGGCTGCTCCTTATTGGATTTATTCATGTTGTCCCCAAGTCCCTTCAGGCACAGTGGGAGCAAGGGAGCTCTGAGTGTCGCGGGACAGCTCTGTCAGTTTGGCTCAGAGGATAGGATTGTCCGGAGGGATGTTTCCATGCTTTATGGAAAGGCCTCCAGAGTAAGTCATGGCAAAAACAATGAAATATTGGAACAAATTGCTTTAGAGGACATGCTGTATTCCTGGGTTTTGGCATCTTAAGATGAATTTACTCTTCAAAGTTTTACAAATTATGTTTCTAGTGATTTATTTAGTTATTTTGCTGAAATAGGGTATTCCCTTCTATCTGCAGTTACTCCCTTCTCTCTAACATGGGTGCAGAGTCCAGAGATGTCCTTATACCGGAGGAGTTAAGTGTTCCCTTTGCTGGGTGAGGACAGCGATGCTGCTGATATAACTGCATCTTTGGTGGCTGGGAACCGGGGTTTATTACCTCTTTAATAGTTAAGCTGTGACCTTCTGGCGTAGACTTCTGCAGAGCGCTGAGAGCAACTGGAGGAGTTTGCCAGCTTCTGTGCTGGCTGCGCGGTAACCCCCCTGGCTCTGGGGTCCTCATTGCAAGAAATGTGACTTGGCATCTCAATTGCATTAAAAGCCTTAACAAAATAAAGGCAACCTTTCAACAAAGTGAAGCTCCTAATATGATATTAACCTAAACTAAGAGTAAAGCAGCACGTTCATTCAGACAGTAGCAAATCATGCTCCAATCGTCAGATCGTTTAATTCCAATCAACATGGCTGCTTAATTCCACTCTACTGCTGAAACTAAGGAGACAAAATGATCTATTTTACTACATTTTAAGAAGTCTAAAAAGATGGCTGCTATAAATCCAAACAGAAAAGAAATTATACTGAAGTTAATTGAGTTCATTTTGGCTCATTGCCTTAACACTGAACCTGAATTATTATCAGGTGCCTGGACCATAACCTCAGAGACTCATATGAAACTTCTGTGTGCGACTTCATCGTTTGTGTAGTGCCTGACCCTTTCCACCCCCCACCAACTAATATATTCCAGTCAGACATTAACAGGTCTTTCTTGATCAGCAAAAGTCTGATGGCTCTTAGTTACCCATGATGACCATGCAAGCTTTTGAAGACTTTCACTCATGCAACACGGAGCATATTTTAATAAGAAATCTTTTTGGAGGTGTTTAGGCCTGGCAGTGTTTCTTTCAGGGATCTTTAGTTGCTCACATACGTCTATGTGCATATATCTGTACTAGTTACACAGCCTGTCATTCGACATGCATTCATCAGCAAAATTAAAAGAGCGTACACTAGTTTCTTCCTGACTAGTAGAGAAGAGGCAATTACAGTAACATTCCTGTTTTGATCACACAAACTCTAAAGAAGCTTATTTCCCTCCAAATATAATCTATCGAGACGAATCCCTTCAAAATGTTAGTAATTTTACATTTTCAATGAGGTCTGTGTATCCATCTGAGAGAGTCTGTCATCACAGATACCCAAGTCAACCTGTAGGAGCGTCCAGCGTTAAGAAAGAGAACCTGCCCGGTCCAGCACAGACTTTACTGATGGATATATAAAATACATGCATAGCACGTTGCACGGCTTCTCAGGTTGATTTCTTTCCCAGGCCAAGTGTAAGCTTTAAAAAGTCTTTTTGCTGCCATCGCTGTCAGTTATGGATGTGATACTTTTCCTCCCCCCCAGATAACTAACCTGGTTATTCAGGTATCCTATCCAGGCAAAACAGCCTGTTGTTGGTATAGCTTATTTTGCTCAATGAATTGGCCTAAGCCATAGTAGAAGGGGGCACAAAGGGGGAGCAGTTGAGGTGTCTCGCTGTGGCTCAGCAAGTGTCAATTTGAGCATCGGTCCAGACCAGGGCAGGCAAAGTCTGGCTCCTGGGCTGGATTGGGCTCGTGGCAGACTCCACTTCCCAGCAGCCCCTGCCCACATCGCTCTGGCCATCTCTGTGAAACCTCAGGAGTGGCAGGGCTGTGATGGCCCCGTGCTCCCTGGGTCTCCACCGAGACTGGCACGACTGGGCGGGAAGCTGCTCCAGGGTCAAGGCCAGGATCTTGCAGCAGTGACGGCGCAGGCTGGAGATGGGGCAGAGCTGCAATCCCCTGCCCGCACACGCTGGGCAGGGGCATGCAGGTAGCAGATCGTAGCTCTGCCCCAGCTCCGGTCCCAGAGCAGCTCCATGGAGACCCTGGCCCCACGCTGTCATGGCCCTGCCGCCCCTGGGGTGGCCTTGGAGACTGGCCAGAGCGACTCCAGCAGGGGCTGCTGCAAGTCCAGCTACTGGCCGGATCCACCGTTTTGCCCACCCCTGGTCCAGACCTCTGCTGAAGACTGTCCCCACTTGAAAGGTTGTAAATGGGTACCTGGCCCTTCTGGCTAGGGTGCGTTTACCAGTATCTAGCAATAGTGACACAGCCACACAAGCTTTCTAAGGGGAAAAAGACCTAGATATAAGGTAGGTTTGGTGCTGGATTGGACGTAATTTCTGTCATCAGTTGGTCCCTGCCATTTAGAGGAGGGCAAAACTATCGTTCTGTCCATCCATGAGGCACGTAGCCAACTCTGCACTGGAGAGCTCATGGGAAGAGGTCTCCCCTTGGCTCTTGGGGAGATGTCATCGTTGCTGGAGGACATGTGGAATGACGATCCACTGAACTCGAGCCGCTTTGTACCTGAAACAGCAGTGTTGTGTTGCTAACTTGTTTTTTTTTCCCTTGTGGATCTCATTTTGTATCCCCCTGCCTGTTCCCCTGCCCCTAGTTCCTCCTGGTGCTGGTATGTCCAGTTTTAACCTCCAGTGTCTTGGTAACCAACAGGTTGGTGGGACAAAGACGGGAGTCGTGCGCTATGTGGGAGAGACGGACTTTGCCAAAGGAGAGTGGTGCGGAGTGGAGCTGGATGAGCCCTTGGGGAAGAACGATGGAGCAGTCGCTGGTACAAGGTACTGACTGCGCTTGCTGCACTGCAGCTGGACTCTGGTAGGATGTCTGATGTCTACTGCTGTAACACGGGACAGTACAGCCCCCCGGCTAGGGTGGGCTGACCAAGTAGAGGCGGTGCATATGGTCTGAGTGTAAGCACAGGAACATCTAGGCTGGATTTCAGGGGAAATATTCTAGCTGTGAGATCTTCTAGGTGCTGAAATAGTTCCCCCAAGGGAAGTTGTGGAAGCCCCATATCTGGAGTATTGTAAAACAGGATCACATGCAGCAGTAGATAACAAACGATAAGGGGTGGGGGGAAGAGAGAGTGGATGAAAGGAGATGACAGTTGTTTTGGGGATTACTTCCTTGCCTTTTTGTTTGGTTTCTGCAATGCTGTGACTTTAAGACCACCCATCGTCATATCTTCATTCCATAAAATAAATCTTTCCTTTCCCTTATTCAAGCCATAAATTGTCCTTTCAGCCTTGTAATGAGGGCACGAGATCTTCTGAACATGCCAGGTGTCTCTCTCTTTCTGGGAGCCAGGCTTCTAGCAAGCCCTGAACAAATGGTTGATTTAAGTCTTTTGCTCCAGCCTCTCAGTAATTCTGCAGCACAACATCTGTTTGCAGATGGCACTTGCGACCTCTGAATGTAGAAGGCACATTAGCTGGTTTTTGCAGCAGTGTATTTTTAGCAGGCTGCTGCTGGGCAAAGTTGAAAGGATCAAAAGGATTAGCTGGGGACCTGGTGAACCTCAAAGCAATTTATGAATTCTTCCAAACTACATTCACCTTTTGCATGCAGGGGTTTGGGTCAGATGACCTTTTATGATCTGTAAAACCAAGTAGGACAGTCTGAGACTGTTGGTGGGGCACGTTTTGTTCATGCTTCACATCAGGGGTGGGAACGATCCTCAGATTGTGAGTTACCCTTGACTTATTCAGCTCCCACAGGAGCTCTACTCATTGCTCCTTTACCAAAAATACTGCTGGAACCAACAGCTGACAATACTTCAATGGCTCCACTAGTGGGAATAGGAAGTAAGGAAAATGATCTAACCTTTTAAGCCCAAGGTAAGGGCTTGATTTGCTTGATTTGAATTTTGGGGAAGTTTCAGCTGAGATCTTGGGTGTGTGTAAAATAGTTGGTCTATCTCTAACTTTTCAGGTGTTCCCTAAAGTGCAGCTAGCCCTTGTCCATCCCTGGTGGTCTTCTGTCCATAGCTGTAAAGAACAGTAGCCAAAGGGGAGACTGATTATGGTAGTAATTAATGTACTAGTTATAGCAGCAACAGTCTGATGGAACATTATTATTCCTTCAGGGCTTCATGGAAATGTACGGTAGAGGTTGGAACTAACTTGAAAAATAGCAGGAAACTGTCAGTAATTCAAGAGGTTTTGACTTCAGGAGTAAGGATAATTTATTTTGTGTCTGTATTTGTGGCCAAGCATAGATCTGTAAAAGAGGAATGGCTTGTCCCACCCCCACATGAAGATATTGCAGCAAACCAGGCAATGACTGGAAGAAGAGGGTTGTAGAGAAGCAAGGAGGGAGAGGCAATGTGCACTTTGCCACCCTGTAGTAGAGTAGCTGCACTTTAAAACTGCTCCCAAATAATGCTGGGAAGGTATAAAGTAAGGGAGGAGAACACAGGGCGTGTTTGGTCTCCACTTAGAGCTGGATGCCAGGGCTCTGGCTCTGCCAACACCTTTTGCCTGCCTATAAGAGAATTTGCAGCCATTTTTCTGCTTTCTGGGGCTTGGCCTAGCTGTGATCAGGGGCTCGCCTTTCCTCTTTTGGACCATCACAGATGTTTGGGTTGGGAGGGACCTTAGCAGATCATCGAGTCCGACCCCCTGCCCTGAGCAGGAAAGCACCAGGCCCGTCAGGGTTGGTTCAGGTGAACGTGGGGCCTCTTTCACCTAGGTGTCCTTGCTGCCAGTCTTTCTCCCCCTTCGCAAGCCACAGGCTCTGTACCTGGCCTCTGTTCAGCCCCACAGAGGGGAGCAGGGATGATAAGAGCGGTGAAGCTAGTGGCTCAAGTTTGTCCATTAAACAGGAAGAGGGCAGCCAGTAACATGCCCCAGTAAAGGATCTGCTTTCCTAATTTGCCGGGGATGCAGGCAATCCACAGCACTCTCTGCTAACGCAGCGTAGCAGCCACACATCCCTGGCACATCAGCAGCGGACCTGGCACTGGTGGTTTCTCCAGCCATCCTTGCGTTGCCCTCTTCGCATTATGGCCACCTGCTGGGTCAGCCCTTGGTGCATGCATCTGACCACCTGATTTTCCATGCCTTAACGTCCTCCATTGTGCAGCTTACAGCCCTTGCAGGCTTTAATGATGAAGCCTCTGGAGAAAAGCCAGCTTGCTAAAAACACACCTTTTGCTTTGCTTCTGGACTCTCCAGTCCCTTTGCGTTAGCAGCCAGCCCCTTTCAGACGCCTTCCAGGAAACAGCAGCATGCCATCACCACCTTTTTGTTCCTTGTCCTTGCACTTGTCCTACCCGCGTCCTTGGACACGGACAGGAACGATGTGTTTCTGGGCTTTGCTAACTGTTGCCATCTAGTGATCCGTCTCGGTCTCTCACCCTGGTTTGTTTTGTGTCGATGCTGGGTGAATTCCTGTTGCTTTTGCAATGAATTAACAGTGCAGCTCATCCTGTAAATTAAAACAGTGCCTCCATCTGGTGGCCTCATGTATGTCACACTGATCTCCAAATGAAAACATGGGTTTGGGATACCAAAGACTACAGGTTGGTCCAGGGTAGAGCCAGAGGGGTGGTGTTTCCACCGTAGCAATCTGCCAGGGCAAGAAGAGCCAGGCCTGGATGGGTGGCTTTGGGGAGGGGAGAAGGCAGGTGGAAGTGACTGGGGGCTGCAGTAGGAGGTGAGAGCAAAGGGCTCTTGATGCCAAGTACTTGGCTGTGCCCGAGAGAGAGAAAACTTATCCTTGTAATGGGATAAGTCTGATATGGCTCCAGTTCCTGTAGGCTGTCAGGATTAATCGGGGGGGAAGGGGCAAAGCTGGTGCACGCTGAAACATGTTTAAAGCTATCCTTCCCCAGCAAAACCCAGTGGCAAGAGCAGCCCTTGCCCACCACTGCAGGGCAACGCCTGTGTTGACAAAGCTGTCCCCATCTGCCACGATGCTGCAGGTGCTGTAGAGCCTACCTCCCTTGGCCTGTGGCAGTGGATCAAGCCCCAAATCCCCGTGGAAGGGCAGAGCAGTGTGTGCAACGCCAGAGGACAGCGCTGGCACATTGTGCCCGTTCTCTCCTTACTTACACTGGTGAAATTCCCTGACCTGCTTCTGGTTTTCTGGGATAACAGGGAAGAATGAGGCCTGTTAGCTTCTGCACTGAGGCATGCCAGCTTTCCATTTTATTTGCCAGCTGTTATGTTGGTGCATCCCTACTGCCTTATTTTACCTTCCTCTGCCTTTGTCCTTGTTGTTATATGACCCTTAGTAACACTTTGTGAACCCCTGATTTCAGCCTCTCCCTTTCCACATCACTCCAGTTGCAGTAAAATGCTTTCATAAAGCATTTGCAGATCTTGAGACATGTACCCCAAATACTAAGGGTTAATATTTGTTTCCCGACCAATTTCCCTGCTGCTTCCCCTTTAACAATTTGCAGTCTCCATGGGACACATGCTTAACTTCTGTGGAATTGGCCTCCACTAATGAACATCAAGGGCCTATTAATACTGGAAGTTCGGAGAGTTACTCACTTAACTGGAGGGGAAGAGCCCTTCACTTTACATGCTCGTGGTAGTGGATTCAACCCCTGTTGATGGCCTGTGGAGGAAAGAGAGGGTATTAATGGCACAAGACTGTAGCTCAGGCCTCGGGTGATTATTTACTGGCTGTTGCTACCAGTCTAGACCAAGATCAAGCCAGCAGTGTAGTGGTAATGGGCTGTGTCCCCCATTCCCAGCCTTTCTGTACAGAGCTTACTTCATCAGCCTGCTGCTGAGCAGGGTTTTGGCTGGTGTGTTCAAGCCCAGTTGGTTTTCCACCTTAGTCGTCTGATCTGTAATGAAATCAGCCCTCAGCACTACTGCTTTTCCAAGCTCCAGGTCTGTGTTGGCAGCCAGCAGTAAGGCTGGAGCAGTGGTGATGGTTGTGCTGGGTTTTTCATAGTTGTTTTTTTTTTTAAGATTGTCTTGAAAAGAAATCAGGCTGGAACAGATGCTTGCAAATGAATCACTTTCTCCTCTGGATGGGAGCTGGCTGTTCTTATAGCCTCCCATACGCACAGGGATCTGCTGGGGACACGCACGTTGCTGCCAACACTTAACAAACCATTACACAAGTGCTAGGCCTATGTTGGAGCAGCTGCTCACATCTGGAGAGAGAGGATATGTTATGCCAAGAATCCTGAACTTGCCATCTGAAGATCAGTTAATGTTAATCTTCATATTGGCCTGGTTTGTTTGCTGCTAGTTCTTATTAACCGGGAAGTATTTTGTGTTCATGTAGGAGAGCTGGGGGGGGTTGGTTTGTTGTTTTTGCCCCATCCTTTTATATTTCCCCAGTGGTTCATCCTCGTCGTGAGCCATTGGGAAATGACTCTCAAACCAGATGGTATTTTCTGTGTGGCCTGCTGCACTGAAGCCAGGGGACGTGACATGTGGAAGCTGTCTAGTTGTACTTGCTAAGCGGCAGCAGATGAGTGGCAGAGCGATCGTGGCTTTAGCAGATCAGCTTCAAACAAGTCCCCTAGTTTCTGGCGATGTGGGGTCCTGGCCCTGGCCTTCCAAAAGGAGACCCCAACTGGGACTTACCTGCTCCTGGCAGTAGAGAAAGGGTCGACTGAAGCCCAGCTCCCAGGCTGGTAGTAATTGGAGAAATGAGCTCACTCGTTTGAGTCCCATTTCTCTTTTTGGGGTTTTTGTTGTTCTCCCGCCCTGGCGGGGGGTCGGGCTAGAAGATCTACTAGGTCCCTTCCGACCCTTAATCTATGAATCTATGAATCTATGAGCTCACTTCTTAATTTAACAATCGCCATTTCTCCCTTCTGTATCTTCTTCTTCGCTGTCTCTTTCTAGTTTTCCTAGTTTTTTGATGTTTTCCTTGTTCTCACTCGTCCTTGCCTTTTATTAATCACATGCGGAAGAGGCAGCAGTGAAACAGAGGATGGATGGATTTTTCCATCTTGTTGTTTTGATTTGGAAATTTTAATATTTTGACTCTTTTCCCCCTTCTCCCACAATCTCTGCTTCGGAGGAGATTCTCTCTTCGTAGCAGGAATAGTCGCATTGTGGTTCAGGTCTGTTCCTTCCAGTGCATGGGTCTTGGCTCTGCTGCCTCGCTGCAAATCAGGCCAGGGAATACCTGTAGGGCTTTCCTTTGTCAGTTTAAGGAGAGAGCACACGTGCCACACCACTTTTGCTCTTGGAGACTTGGTGCTACCCTGGCTAACAGACGGGCCTCCTAGAATGCCCCTCTTTCCTGGCAGCTCATCAAAGTGCGCAGGAGCCTGAATGCTAACTGCTACCCAACCCACTGCAATCATCACATGTTTCCCTGTCCGAGTAGTACCTCAGGGGACTTTGGGCGGGGGGGAAGAGGCGTCCCTAATGCTGTGCTCTACAGTCTGATGCAAAGCTCTTGGAAATCAATAGGAAGATGCCAAATGACTTCTTCAAAATGTCTTCTAGACCAAGCTCTTGAAGACTTGCTTATGGTGAGTTAGGAGAGGTGCAGCTGCTTCTGCAAGAGTATGGGGTAGCTGGAGTTTGTAGAGGTGAGAAGACCCTGATTTATATTTTAAGTTAACAACTCTTTGACCAGGACACAGTGAAACACTATTCAAGTTGACGAGATGGGCCTGAGAGTGCAGGATGCTAGGGTTTGTTCTGTGGTGGGCAAAGGGGAAGGAGTTTCACTGGGCAGGAGTTGGCTAAGTTTGAAGTGAAGGGCAGGAAAATGGCTTTGTAGGCCTGATTCAACATGCAGTGCCTTGCTGTGAAATGAAAGCAAGTCTCTGCTCTGGGTTTGTCATGACAGCCTTATTGCCTATAGAGAAGCAAAAAACTAAGGGGAAAAAGGGGGAATGGGTGTTGAGGGGGGTTGCCTTGCCCTCAAATGATGATGGGGTGGGAGCTGTTGGCTTATTGACCTGGGCTCTTGCATGTGCTCGTGTTAAAGGAAATGCCAGGACTTCTCATCCTTTCCTTCTTCCTCCTCCCCTTGTGGCAGGCTGTGATCGGCATCTAACAATGCTGGGCTGGAGTGATGCCTTACTAAGCTAGTGGAGAGCCAGCACCACGCCAGGGGTTCTTTCAGCCCCTTTCCTGAAGACATGGTCTATTAATGCAAGCAAGTTTTAGGGTTCCCTTTCACTCTGCAGCTCTGACGTAGGGGCAAGTTCCTAAATGCTTTTAGCTCTTTATCGACCTCTTCCACCAGACCCTTCTCTGCTGGATCTAATAATGGAGCAGGGCTGGCTGGACCCCTAACAACCTCGCTGCAACCCCTGTGAAAAACCAGAGCACTGGTTAGTGTTGCTTACACCTAACCAAATCCTTAAGGCACATCTGTCCTTTACAATTTGTTTTTAAGATTCAGTTTTTTATTTTAGGTGGCTGGACTGAGCTGTCCCTGCCATTCCTGCATTAGTAACACAGTCCTATATTGCTCTGAAAAGCTGCTGCAAGGCAAAGACCCATCCTTATTTGCTCTAAAGCTCTATGCTAGTGTGCTGGGAGTGCAAAGGGGCCTTGATGTCAACTCTGTGAAAAAAGGTCTCCGTATCAATGAGACTTGGCCCCGTATATGTTGCTTGCCAGCTACTCGGCTCACTTATTGTCTCTCTAGCTCATTTAGTGCGAGCAGTGAAATGCATCTGGCCAATGTCACATCTCTAGCTAAGAGTCAATTGGAAAAATACTCTAGAGGGGAAGGTTTCCACCCAAAAATCCTAACAAACAAATCTGGCCTGGCTTTCACTGACAATGGAAGTAACGTGTTTGTGTTGTTGCAAGCAGGGTCTGAGTGCCCGGTGGGATCCACGTGCAGTTTTCCCATGTAAGCAAACCTGGATTTGGGGCCTGTGCTTCTGGAATAGGTGCTTTTAACTCTTTCCCCGCAAAACACCTGGGAAGAGAAATGTTCCTAACCCGTGGAACCGCGTTGGAGCACAGCCCTGGGGAGGGGGCCGTTCAGGCTGAAGGGATAAGCCAAGGAGCAAAGTTTGTGCATTTCCTGGTTCTCAGTTGAGCATTGGTTTTGCCCAGTCTGAGGAACAGGAGGGCTGCGCCCTTTTTGACTGCCCATCTCTCTCTTTCTCTGTCTCATACTCCAGGTACTTCCAGTGCCCCCCCAAGTTTGGCCTCTTCGCGCCCATCCACAAAGTGATCCGCATTGGGTTCCCGTCCACCAGCCCTGCCAAAGCGAAGAAGAGCAAGCGGATGGCCATGGGAGTGTCTGCCCTGACCCATAGCCCCAGCAGTTCCTCCATCAGCTCTGTCAGCTCTGTGGCATCCTCTGTTGGGGGCAGACCCAGCCGGAGTGGACTGGTGAGAGAGCCATTCCACTGTTTATGCAGCCTGGGACCCCCCCTCCCCATGCTCCAACCTTGCACAGCGGTAGGGCCGGAGTGTTTCAGCAAGTGCCCAAGTGCTGCTGCTATGCCACCATTAGCTGAGAAATGGGGAAGGGTGGGAACACCACGCCTGACCTTTGATTATAATTCCTTCCCACTGGGGTGAGAGTTATGGGGCTGGGGGGACACAGTCGCTAATGATCCTCCAGTGCTGTTTGCACCCTAACTCAGATTCACTTGCTGTGGTTACATTCAGCCTCCTGAAAAAGCCCCTTGGATTGCAGGGGTGTACTAGGTACACCCCCTAGGTTGCAGTGCTCTTTAACTTCGTCTCCGAAATGGATGCGTAGCTATTCTATTAAACAGCCGCTTCCTCGCAGTGTCAGAGACGGCTCCGTGTCATTGCTGAGGGGAAGCAGTTCCCAGGCCTCCTGGACGTAGTGCTTTGGAGTTCCCTTACAAAGAGGGCAAGATTTTTATTAAAAGCTCTAGCTATTGAATTTAGAGGGTAATCAATATCTATTATCATCTCGGCTGTCAGAGGAAGGGGGTCATAGAGACATCTGTCCCTGGGAGTGTGTCCCGCTGTCCCATCCTTGTTCTCTAGCTGAGTGCAGAGTCCTTTCAGCTGAGCTCAGTTTGTCTGGAGCGTCTTCAGCTGCAGTCGGGGACAAAACATGTTTGTGAAAAGAGAGAGGATTTTCTCTCTTGTAACTGGGATCTGTCCTGCCCCACCCTACTTCTGTCCCTGGAGAGCTGCCATTCCCATCGCTGTACTGAAGAGCTAGCTTGTCTGCAGGCAGCCTCTGGTTCAGTGGTCTCCAGTCTCATTGCAAGAGAGATCCCAGCCCACTGTGTGAACTGGCCAGCTGGAAGCCAAGTGGGGAGGGGAGAGCCCAGCTCTAGACCCTTCAGATCTTGACTTTCCCCTCCAGCTGACAGAGACATCCTCTCGCTATGCCCGGAAAATCTCTGGCACCACAGCCCTGCAGGAGGCACTGAAGGAGAAGCAGCAGCACATCGAGCAGCTACTGGCTGAGCGTGATCTGGAGAGAGCAGAGGTAGCCAAGGCCACCAGCCACATCTGTGAAGTGGAGAAAGAAATTGCCATCCTGAAGGCCCAGCATGAGCAGGTAAAGTCCTACACGTCCTGTTAGAGAGAGCATCCATCCCGTAGAGCTGGTGCTGGTAAAAGGCGCAGCACTGATTATAACAGCATTGTATACGCTGGGAGAGCTGTGCTTATGCTGATGGGTTGTAAATTCTTGGCCCCAAGAGCACAAAGATGCCGTACTCATACCCTGACGATACATCACTGGCTTGATGCCATCCTTGGTCCTGGCTCCCCATTGTGGACACCAAAGCATGCATCAGGATAAGGGATAGCACGTGGCATACACACGAGCTACGCTTTCATGCCTGATCAGTATGTCTGAAATTTGAGAGGGTGGGAATTAGTCTACTGAAAAAAGGAGTTTTTCTCCTTGGGCCGCTTGCCCCATGGGCTCCCTGCTGAACCTGCCTGCAAGCAAATGTGCTGCAGTATTCTTGGGTTGCTGCCAGATACTGAACTGGAGGCTTGGAGGTTGTTTCACGTAGGGTGCTGCGTTGAGCATAAACTTTGGAGCCTCAGCCTGAGTGAACAGTTAAGAAAATAGTGCGGCACCATTTCCATGGGAGGCTGGACACTTGTGCAGCTGGGGTTTTGTTCATGTGCATGTTGGGGAAAGGTTGTAAGTTGATAAACTTTCATTTCTGAACTGGATTATGTCCACCCAGGGGTGGGTACTGGCTGTTCCTGCTATGAATCCTCCTGTTGCTGGATCTTCTGGTGTCCTGTCAGAGCAGGACCAAGGCCATGTGCCCCATCTTCCAAATCACACATCCCTCATAACGACAGTAACCTGGACTCCACTCAAGCCTTCATTACTTACACCTTTGCTCTCATCTTTCATCTGTCACACAGGTCTACGCCCCAACCCTCCCCTACTCTCCACTCCAGTAAACACTTGCACAAAGTAGTTGCCAAACAGTTGTGTGCAACAAGTCTATTAATAAACATCAGAATTTCTTCTCTGATACTTGATGAGCAGAACAAACTAATAGAGTGATCAGGTAGTACATACAGCTCTTGTTTTGACATATCTGGGCTGGATTTGGCTTGGGGACCTAGTGTTGGGCTTTCAAATAAGCTCAGGAAAAGCTTTACAAAAGGTCCCATTTAGGCACAGAAATATAGGCCAGCCGCTTGGCATCCAGCAGAGACACCTACGTGCCCCTCTTTTGACATGGACCTGCTGAGCTTCCTGGAAACTCCAGTCTTTAAGGATAAGCACCTTCACAAGGATAACTTCCCAGACCTGTCAACCACCCCAACTATTTAAAACCCATATATTGCAAATATAGTTAATGCTACATGGGTTGAGGGGTTTCTTCTGTTACAGTATGTCGCAGAAGCAGACGGGAACCTCCAGCGTGCACGAGCCCTGGTGGATGGGATGCAAAAGGAAAAGTTTGAGCTGTTGAACCAACTGGAAGAGGAAAAAAGGTAGGATAGCAACGGGGGGAATAGAAAGGGTGTAAGGAGAAAAGCAGAGCATGCTGCCCTGGAGGGAGAGGGGAAGGGAGCTATGGGCAAAGCACTGAGGTTACTCCCTCCCATGATGATAATCCAGTTTACATTGAACAGGACCTAGTGCTTCAAAGAATATTATCCATGTTTGATGCTGGATTGAGGATCCGGTGGCAAACAGCAGTGAAAGGATGGATGCAAGTAGCACCCTACGTGGTCTCAGTCTCTTCGTGGGCAGTGACAGGGTGCTTCGGCTCCACCAGTCTGAACTCCACTGCTGTCGGGGTCCTGATGTGGGCCAAAGATGGGCTCTGATGCATTGATATTAAGGGGAAAAAAAGTTCCTCCAGTGTCTTTTGGGGAATGGACTATTAAGGATGTGCTGGTTCAGACCAGCAGTGCTGCAGAATGAGATCATTCATTGTCAGAAAACATTTATTTGGTTTTCAGTAGGTGACTTAAGTTGCCATTGGCAACAGGGAGGGCGTCTTCCTCAAACACATGAAGATGAGGCTGCTGATGGTACTGTACCGAGTTGGCATGCCAACTGGTGCTCAGGCAGGTTCTGTTGCCATATAAGGTTCAAATGTCAAGTCTTGGCGCACAGCAGGCTCTTAATACCTGGAAAGAAGTAGCAAGCGGGCTCCTTTCTTGATCTCGGCACTGACGGTGCAAGTAGTGAAGGACAAGAGCCTACCAAGATGTTGCATTAGCAACTTCATAACACAGTGCCCTGCGTGCCATGATTGAGAGAATGGAAAAGGATACTGGAGAATGATCATGTCCTGGGAAGCCCAGGGAGATGGTCACATACTGATTAGGCTTCCAGCATCTTTGTCTCTTCTGCTATGTTTTGGAAGGCAAGTGCTTGCAAGACAAGCCATGTTAGAGCAGTGGGGCTTAAGGAGCTGAGTATGTTGGGAAAGAGCTGAGAAGTGAATGGACTTTCAACATTGTCCAGTTGCTACTGGGGCCCGCGCTGACCATGGATGGCCACAAACTTCTCTGGAAGTGTGCGAGTGGTAACTAGCGCAGTAAGAGGGTAGCATCTGATAATTAAAAGCAACCAAAGCAGCCATCCAGACACCAAGAAAGCCATTCTCTCAGATATCAGTGTTCAAGATAAGAGTGTTCCCTGTTGAAAAGTGAACAGAAATGCCCTCTGACGTGGGCTAAGCCGTTGTGAGACCTAGAGTGTGTGCAAAGGACAAGGAAATCCCAGCTGGAGTTCACCCCTGATAACCAAGCACCGTCTCTGTCCCGTGCGACGTGCTCCTACACCCAGCCCCATGCATGTACATGAGCTAGCATGAGATGGTCAGGGCTTGATATTGAGGGTGCTTGGCTCATTTGGTGGAGAGCGAAGATCTGTTTGTGTCATCCCAATGGCTCCTCCATTTATAAAAAGCCTTCTGTGGGAGTAGAAAGACATTTCTCTGTGTGTGTGTTTTAATAATTGAAAGGAAAATAGTGACTCACTGTGGCTTTCATTTGCAAGAGGCTGCTACTGACAACAAAATGTTGCTCCCTGCACAAGTCTTCCCAGGTTTCCTGTAGGCAGCTCCTTTTCCAAGTTACAGGAGGCAGGAGGTTTTCTAACTCGAGACAGCTGAGTTCCCTCCTAAACAGCAGCAGATGCCTCCTCTAATTAGAAGAGGTTTAGAGAAAAGAAGGTTGTTTATAAAGTTTGATATGTAGAAGGAGAGTTATTTTTATCTGTGGCAGAGAATCACAGTCTTTACATCTGGTTCCCAGGGCAACATCCACCACATGTTCTTAAAAACTGTATCAAATGAAAGAACAAAGAAGATCAGATTTACCAAGAGGATTGAAATACAACTGTACAATTAGTGGGGTTATTTTATATTGTAAACCAGCATCTTGTAGAAGAGGGTACCAGGGGTGGTTGGGTATGTTTGCATGCATGCTCACAAGCCTGTGTCTTCGTGTTTGTGTGATACGCCTCTGTAGTTTTTGTGTCTCCTGTGATGATTTTTCTGCCAGTGCGGCTCATCATTGCCCCCAGCAGAGACCATTGCCCATAGCCAACTGTGAAAGGAGAAACCCTGAATGTCTGCATATTCAGCCACAAGCTCTTTGACGCTTGGCACTGGGATTTCCCAGTGCTGGCTTGCAAAATGCAGCAGCAACTAGTTGCCCAAGAAGCTGCACTCAATCCCAGCGTGCCAGCGCATTCAAGCCAAAATGTTTGGCTGCTCCTTCAGTGCCTCCAGTATCCATATGTGGATGCAAAGCAGCCACGTTCACTGTAGAAGGGCGACATGGCCCAGTGCTTGCGTCGCCAGGCATGCATATTACAGTAAGAACGGTGTCTGCTTTGCATAAGGCTAATTAAGCCGCCTTGGCCAGTACTTGGCTGGTGCTGAGCAGTTTGTACATGGTTTGCCCACCTCCTCCTGCTCTCAGCCTTTTGTCATGCAGGGACCTTTTGTGCCAGCCGCTTGGTGATACGATCCCAGTCCCACTGTTGCTGACTCTGGCCTTTTCTCCCCTGTCCCTCTAGGAAAGTGGAGGACCTGCAGTTCCGTGTGGAGGAGGAGTCCATTACCAAGGGTGATCTGGAGGTAATTCACTGCAATGTGTGGGTCTGAAACTGTGCCTGCATTCGACTGTTGTCTTTGGCAATCTCTGCTGCCTTTTGCCCAGCGCTGAGTAAAATATGTTGCTGTGGGGAGGCTGATGACTCATTGCAGTGTGTCGCCGGTGTTGAATGCAATAGAAGAAAAAGTTTCTCTCGTATGTTAATTGGGCACCGGGAATCCTAGAGACCCATGGAGCGCTAGAGCATGGTTTCTAAACGCGGCACTCGGTCGTGTCACAATACACATGGATTAAGCTGTGCATGTGTGTAAATGCCTTTTAACATATGTATTCTTACTGTAGGCTGGCTTGGCAGTGCAGCCACTATCCCTGCTGCCACTGGTTCCTACTGGGCACTATAAGGCACATGGTCTTGTACTGCACGAGAGCCGTGATGTTCCAGTTCCTTTCTGGGTACAATGCCACGCGTCCTTTCCTTCCCATGAAGTCATCCTCTCACTCAACGTTGTGAGTGAGTGCCCTTTGTGTTTCAGAAGGGCTAGTGGTCTGCGTGTACACAGGGATAAAGGCACTGGCACATAGCTGTTCGTAACGTGTGTTGCATGGCTCTAGCAAGGTGACAAGCTGTGGAGGCACAAGCACCTCCTAGTTAAGGATATTATTAGATGGGGACTTTCGGCATTATTTGGCAGATGGAGCAACTGTGAGCAAGAGACGCAACATGGAAGTCAGACTCTGCACAAGGCAGATCTTTTCTTTCAAACACACACATGTGCATACCCTCCAGGCGTCCTGCTTCTCCACACATCCTGTGCCTGGAGGAGATCACCTGTAGCAGTGACAGGTTCATTTGTTCACCGTGCTTCTTTTAGGGCTTGGTCTCTGTTTTGAGCAAGTACAGTGTATAGGGCTGCTCTCCTATGCAAGTCAGTTTATTGAAGAAGGGTCTTCAAGAATTTTTGCATTTTGTAGGTAGCAGTTATTGTTATCATTGAGTCTGAGTTGTAAAGATCAGTGATGAACTTCCTTAAATTTCAGAGATGCTCTGGATTTAGGCATTTTTTGGTCTAGCCTAATTATGGCGGAAGAAAGCAATGGGTATGATGTAAGAGTTGATGCAAGCTTTCATTCTAGCCTTGATTTGAAGCCATGTTTAAGGTCATGAAGTTCATTTAAGTTTCTTCCCTTTGTTTTTATGGGTTTTTTATGTACATGAAAATCATAAAAATTGGCTATCAGCAGAGCTCATGGAAGAGGGAGCGAGGCTACTCATGCAATGTTTTGCATAAGTACCAGTGTTCAGAACCTGGTATGAGACCTTTTTGTTGCAAAATTCCTAGAACAGTTTTGAAGCTGGTCAGCAAAGGATCCCATGTTTAGGATATATATTCCTGACTCTGTGGAGAGCAGGGAGGTATACTGGTACCAGAAGCAAAATGGACTGAGAGCTACTAGTGGAGGTAATTTTGATGATCGATGTATATGAATGTTCATTTAGAGACATTGGGCTATATTACCAGTGTAAATTCATAGTAACTCTATTGAAAATAATGCAGTAATTCAGAATTAATAGCACTGTTTATGGAATCAGGAGCTGGCCCAAGTCTTAGGAAGGGGAAGGGCAGGAGAGATTCAACAAGATGACCGTTTTCCCCACCTTTTCCATAATAAATATCCAGCCTACTTCTTTCCTTTTACTAGATTCTTTGGTGTGCTCGATAGGGCTTCGAGGCTTGTTTTCGGGAACTCATCTGTAGTCAAAGAAACCAGACAAAATCTGAAGTGTCCTAAATATAACTGGCTGCCCTGATTTTTACTGTGTTTGAAAATGTCAAATAATATTTTCCAGATTTGTCCAACTTGAAATGTCCTCCATTCCCAGAAGCAGAGCCACCAAAAAAAAGAACAGAAAAAAGAAAAAGAAAACATAAGATAAAGCAGACCCCTCAGTTTAGCTTTGACATGGGTGTGGGGAAAGCCAATAACAAAGTAGAAAGCAAAGAACAGGACATTGCCAAGAAGAATTTGAATAATAATATAGTCCCAGTGGTGTTGGTGGATCAACGTTGCTTCAATAAAATAATATTTTTGAGAGTTAAAAATACGACAGCTGATGTTTGCATGTGTTTGTTTTCCCATTTTTGTATGGGGAATTTACATGATATCATCGGTGGCCATTTCTGACGTGCTTTCATTAACTGTGCTACCGATTTAATGAACGAGTGTTTGGTCATTAAAGAATGGGGCATTGAACCAAAAGTCCTGGGTCCTAGTCATGGCTCTGGCAAAGAAGTTGGGTAAGTGGCTTAATCTTTCTGTTCCTCATTTTACCCAACGATATAATGGGCACAATTACACTTTACCCTTCCCTTACCTTACAGGACTATTGTGAGATGATTCAAGTTTGAAAATCGTTTTGAAATCCTTAGGTAACAGTGCTGTGTAAATGCAAAGCACTGAAATACTTTGGCGTTAAATTTCCGTGATTTATATAAGTTTCTGGTATTTTCAGTATGCTTTGTACAGTGGAACCTGCACTGGTCAGCTCCTGCACGGTTCAAATGCTCTGTTCATAGCAAAGATGAATGAGATTTTTTCCAAATCATTCCCAGCACATGGCAGCATGCAGCTAGCCATTGTGCTGGGAGAAACACTTGAACTGACCGTCTTGCAGAGATCCAGCAGAAAATCTTTGTGTCATCACTTGATTCCCTTTAAGATAAACTTTACTGGGACACAAACCTTGGGACTCTGCTCTGGGTGAATTTTGGCTACTAGAAGCATCCAACTTGGAGCCTGAATTCAGGAAAGCATGTAAGCCCTCCTCTGAGATAGAGAGGTGCCGTCCTGAATTGGGGCTGATCAGAGAGTCCGCTGGATCCTAAATAGCCACCACAGGTACCATGTAAAATCCCTTAGTAACTGATTTTTGTTTGGATGAGGTTTCCTGCCTGTTGAGACCTTTATTTTCTTTCTGTTGTGAACTGCCTTTCCTTGTCTTGTACTGAAGATGATGTTGCAGCCTTTTCTCTCTCTCTCTCTCTCTCTCTCTCTCTCTCTCTCTCTCTCTCTCTCTCTCTCTCTTTTCTGCTCTTTCTCCCATGTTGTTCTTTTTTCCCTATGTGTGACCAGACTCAGACGCAGTTGGAGCATGCCCGAATACGGGAGCTCGAGCAGAGCCTGCTGTTTGAGAAGGCACAGGCTGAAAAACTCCTCAAAGAATTAGAGGATACCAGGGTAATCCCAGCCCCACTTACCCTGCCTGCAGAACAATGTGCTTGCCAGCTGCATTGATGCCAGCAATGCCTTGCTTTGGATTTGGTTTATTTTTGTTTTATGTTGGTTTTGGGCTTCCATGGTTTTTATTTATTTATTTATTTTTATTTTATTTGCTCTTCCTTCTGGAAACAGTAGCCCCCTATAATTTTCCCCTCCGCTTCTTGTGTGGTGACTCGTTTTGGAGACTTGAGTTGGCTTCTCAGCCCCATGGCACCATTTGACACATGAGCTCTTCACTGTTCGCTGTTGGATTAACATGGCCATATAAATAACCATAATTAAACCCTGCCTGATTCATTTTTCTGCTTCTAGAGGTTTCTTTTGTGCTACAGTAGGAAATAACAGCATTCCATTCATCATTTCCAGCATCCTTCTTCCTGTTGTGGGTGCTGCAATTTGAGATGAAAAAAACAAAACCAAGTGGAATTGCTCCTTGGGTTTTAAGAAACAGCCATGGTCACTGGGATTGGTTAGACTCTGCACGTGAAGGCAAGAGATGCCTTTAGAGGAGTGATACACCAGGCCTTCCCAGAAGCTTATCTGGAAAGGGTGTGATGTAGCAGGGAGAGTGGTTGACTTCTTTTTTCATTTTTAAATGAGTGGATTTGTCATTTCTGAAGTTATAAGAATCGCCAAAGAAAATAATCAAGACAAGGATTTTCCCAGCTGGCCAAAGGGATTGGAGCACCCAGTCTGTATTTAAATAGGTGGGAATGGGCTGTCTAGATTTGCTAGGTGACTTCCAAATACTTCATTGATTAGAAATGGAGTTGATGGATTTAAGCTTTGATGCTAGGTGAGGAAATGCTGTAGATCTACTTGTTTGGTTGGTGTTCTTATTAAACATTTTCTTCCGATCAGTCCTTCTGTCATAGGCCCGTAGCCCTTGCAACTCCACGCAGGCTGCCTCCATGATCTGCAGAGCAGAAAGGTTGAAGTAGGTAGCCAGGAAGCTGCTCAGAAGCCCATCCATGGCCAGCTGTTTGTCTTCACATCCTCAAGCCTTCTACCTTATTTTAATTTGCTAATAAATCCTAACAAGTCTTCATGCATAGAAGCCCCTTTCTTTTTACACCAGGGTACCTCAGCTCGGCTCAGGGAGTTGTAAGCTCAGAACTGCTGAGCAATAAAGGCAATATTCGTGATGCACATGATCCTGGCTTTAATACCTACAATATTTCTGAGTGCACAGTACTATTTCCTCTGCGTGTCATTTGGCAAGCAGCCCAGTACAGAAATATAATGGAATTTGAGGACATTATTTTTAATAAATTGCTGTCGCTTCCAGGGAGCTAATATTTCAGCAGTCATTTTAAAGAGGCATGTTGTTGCTTGTGAAAACCGGCAAGTTGGGTTGGAAGCAAGAATAAAAATTGGCAGAAAGGTCTTGCCACAAGGAAGTCTTGGCAGTAATTACCCTGGTGTAAAAATTGGAATTGGATTGGGGATGTAGTTTTTCTTTCTTAAACTTTGACTGATGTGGTTGGGACTTACTGTAGAAAGGAAGTGGCAAAGAAAGGTGGAAAATGCACTGTCACGTCTCTTCTTTATTGTTTCAGTTGACCACCGTGGAAGAGAAGTCGCGAATCCTGCAGCTGGAGGAAGAGTTAAGTCTCAGGCACAGTGAAGTGGAGGAGCTCAGACAGTGTCTAAAGAACTCGCATCAGGCCGAGACTCCTGAGCACAACCTTGGCTTGCATTCGGAGGCTCTTCGTTTGCGAGACCAGCTGCTGTCTGCTAACAAAGAGCACCAAAAAGAGAGCAGTCAGCTGAAGGAAAAGTATGAGAAGACCCTGAAGAAATACCAGCAGGAGATGGAGAAGCTGAAAGCCATGAATGAAAAATACTCCCAGGAAATAGTTGACCTAAAACATAAAGTTCAACAAGCCACCAATGAGAATATGGGGCTGATGGACAACTGGAAGTCCAAGCTGGACACCTTGGCTTCTGACCATCAGAAGTCCCTGGAGGATTTCAAAGCCACCCTCAACACAGGGTCTGAAACCCAGCACAGAGAGATAGTCGAACTGAAAGCCGTGGTAGAGAGCATAAAGATGGAGCACCAGCTGGAGCTAGAGAACCTTAAAGCCAAGCATGATATTGAGACTGCTGTTCACATAAAGGAGAAAGAAAGTCTGAAGCTGAAGCTGCAGGAGGCCAGGGATGAACTGGAAAAAAGCAACAATGACTGGAAGATGCAACTGGAAATCAAAACCAACCAGCACCTCCTAGAACTTCAGGACATGAAGGACAAGTACCGAGATGCCGAACTGAGAGTGCACGAACTGGAGAAGCTACACAGTGAATATAAAGACCAGACGCAAGCAATAGCTTTCTTGAAAGAACAGATTTCTCTGGCTGAGAAGAAGATGTTGGACTATGAGACGCTACAGAAAACAGAGGCCCAGAGTAAGCAGGAGATCCAAAGACTCCAGGAAAAAGTGCTCGTCTTGGAGAACAAACTGCAGTCCATGGAGGCCCTGCATCCTTCTCAGCATGCAAATGTATGGGTTGGGTTATTCTGCTTGTGTTGTCTCGTCCATGTTGGTTTTTCCTCCTCAAATCAGCCTTCATTCTCTTGGGCTTCTAGGCTTCGAAGTAGCTTATTATTTTTAGCATCCATCAGTCTCTCCAATTATTTTTCTGAATGGAGCCTCAGTACTGCACGTATGTCTCCCCTGCCAAGAAGACAGGAGAGCAGGTTTCAATGCAGACCGAGAATTAGAAAGAAAAGGAGATGAAAGGCAGCTTGAGTTTTAAAGCTGAATAGGTTTTATTCTTTAGCACTGACAGTAATGCAGTTGCTGAGGGGCTGTGGGCAGGAGAGTCTCATCCCAATCAAGTAGCATTCTTGGCTAATGAGATACTTCAACAATACAGCTGTTTCCAGAGTGCTACAGCAACCTATCACATTACCGGAGAGGCCCACTCTGGGTGTGTGGGGGGGGGAAGGGAGCAGGACGAAGAGGCATTTCCTGCAAAAGAAACAGAGCTTGTTGCCTAGCTCATGCCTTAAGTGGGAGCACTTGAGAGGGGATTTTGTTGGGACTCATCTTGGGTAGCTCATTTAGCAGACAAATGCCAGCAGTCGTGAGCAGACAAAGCTGAGGTCTTTCCTGTGCTCTCTCTATAAGTACATCAGTCAAGGAAGTACTGAGTGATCAGGATGGAGGTTTTAAATGTAGTGTGAGTTTCTGTGCCCACACCTGGAAGCTTGCCCATGGCACCCCTGTGACCGTTCTCATGCCACAGAACCAATAGGCGCCATCGGGGAGGAAGTAGGATGTGCGGTTAATGTGGAGGGCTTGAGAATGGGTCAGTCTAGCTCCAGCCCTGGCTGTCACGGGTTTGCTTTGTAGGTTGGGAAGGTCTGTTTAATCGGTCGGGTAAAATAGGAACGTTGGTAAGTCCTGGTCAGGCAGGCGTGTTTACAAAGGAAGGTTATCATGGAGGTGAAGGGAGCAGTCTCGTGTTGGTGGGAGGGGAAGGGAAGTCAGCCAGCCAAGCGAAGTGGTGCACACAGCAAAATGCCCGTCTCAAAGGTGACTCATCTGATTACAAATGCTCATTGAAAGCCAGACTGTAACTATAACCATCATTATCACGGAGGGGTCAGCTGTCGTATCCAAGCTTATTATAGGCGTCTTTTCCAGAGGCTTTGCAGCTATTATACCCTGCTTTCTGTCGCACGGTACCACCCCATCCTTATGAGATGACATAAGGATTTGTCTGCAACTTGCTCACCCCATTCATACTGGGGAATGGAAAAATTGCTGCACAGTCGCTGTGAATTTGTATCCCTTGCCTGTACTTCAGCTTTGTACCAGACGCTAAGTGAAAAGAACGTTTATAGCAAGAGAGATTTCCTGGCCTCTTGGAATACAAGAGACCAAAGCAAGTCTGGAAATATATGTGGTTTGCTTGAGAGCATTGGTTTGAAAAATACACTCCTGGAATGTCAAGACTGTTCCCAAACCAAGATTTCAGTCATGTAAACATTTATGCATGAGCTTAACTTTACTGTTCCCAAGTAATTTCCTTGATTTTGATCATGATAGTAAAATTAAGGGCATTGACAGGATTGGGCTTGATGTTACAATTAAAGGTATGTTTATCAGCTAGGAAGGAAAGGAGAGAAGCAAAGGAAGTGGAAGGAGTTTTAAGTGTTAATGGCATGTCCGACATGCGTCTTTTTATCCTAGTTAGTCACAAGCTCCGAGTACAGGTCCCCTAAGAAAACGTAGTGGGTTTATTACTACAGGATGTCAGTGCAAAATGGAAGAGATCCAAAGAAGAGTAAATGCAAAGGAAGAA